TTAACCATGGTCCTTTGCAAGATTCATATTTTTGATAGGCACCCAACCCATACTGAACTAAAACAATTGTGATTGGCTTAAAGTTATCTGAATTTTAAAGTAATCCTTTCACGAATCTTAAAATTTTATATTGTGCTTGTAACTTTATTAACTTTTAAGAATGTTTATTTTTAGTAAGTATACAGTTGTGTTTCTGTGTGTGGGTATGTGCATACCACAGAGGCCAGAAGAGGGTATCAGATCCTTTGGAGCTGGAGTTATAGGCAACCAAACTCAGGTCCTCTGCAAGGTAGTATGTGCGCTTAACCACTGAGCCATCTCTGCAGCTCCAAACTTTATTAAAATTTTAATGGGGCTGTAATAGCAAACACACAGTCCAACATAAATTGAGACATAATCCTGTATTTTATTTACTCATAGTTTTTAAAATTACTCTTAATTACTTTTATTGCATTAAATGAATGCATTTGAAGAATCCCTTCCCATATTGCAACACAGGCATATATGAACAATGTGAGCCTGATGACTGCTCATGATTTTGCTACTCAAACTCTTTACTGAGATGGTAGGAAAACTAGTTTGAAAAAAAGGCATGGTTCCAGTTACATGGATGGGAATTCAGATCCAGAATGGAGGTCATCCTGCAGGCTGAGTGATGGGGACGTGCTTACCTCCGCTTTTGTTGTACATCTCCCGACACAGTTTTACAGCCACATGCTGCAGAGTTTCTGCAATCTTCCTGTTCTGGATCTGGAGCAACTGCAGCTGCCTGGAGAAGTTCCCCAGCTTTTCATCCTTTTCAGAGATGTTATCTTGCTGAATATTGGAGAGCTGGTAGAACTGAAAAACTAAGCCACGTGACCAAGTCAGACTTACTGACTTCAACTTCTGTTTTCCACACATGGGGAAGACACAAATGAACATTAAGAGTGCAGCTCTGAGATCTCACATTGCCATATTCAAGTTCAAACTCTAATACATACATAATAAATTGCATCAGCTGAGGCAAATCAATTTGTCTAGATCTGTCTGTAAGTGTGGAGTCATAATAGCAGTTCTTGACTTCAAACTAAAGTCAGCCTAAAACTATGTAAATGTCTATTGATTATAATTTTGAATATTGGAAATACAGCATATGTCATTGTTCATTCAATTGTTAAAATGCTCAATTTTCATTTCCACATTTTTATAGATTTGTGATTAGGATCCATGAAAACAAGTAACTTTAGTGTCACTCAACTAGGAATCTTCAACAGGGGCTTGACGTTCAGTTTTCTAAATCTAGAGAAATGTGTCACAATTCATAACAGCTACTTTACATTCCAAAGCAAAACGCTGATTGCAAAACAATATCTAGATTGCAACGAGGTACTCTTGCAGAAGTTCCCAGCACCACATGACAGCTAGCAACCCTCTGTAACTCCATTTTCAGGGGGTCCCATGACCTCTTCTGGCCTCCATGGATATTGCATGCATGACACAAGTGCACTTACATACATGCAGACAAAACACTCAAGCATGCAAAACAAAAATAAATAAATCCAAAAAAATTGGGAGGCAGGGGGGGAAGTAATTTTTTCTTTTAATTTTTAAATTTAAGGTCATAAGTTTAGTGTTTACTAAAACAAAATCCGTTTTTGACCCTCCAATCCACTTTGTTATTAGCCTTTTTCCTGAAATCACCTTCACCAGTTCTGGGTAAGCAGCTATAAGGTATCACATTCCAGGTAAATTTGACCACGTCTATCTTTAAGGAACTTGATCTTACTACTTTGCAATTTAAACGTTTTTTATGTATATATTTTGTTTGGTTTTCACACAAAATAACATTATCATTTCCCCACTTTTTTGACAAATGGAATAATTGAGCACTTTTTCTAATCTCCTTGTGTTGAGGGTGTGGATATGCACACATTGTCCCCTGCTCTGGTTCACCCTGCCAAGCACACTGACAGCAGACACCAGTGCCACGCCACTGCTATGGAAAGGGAGAGGGATGAGCCACGTACGATTCCTAAAATGGGGGTTTTAACTACTGACATATAAACAGATACAATTCTTCTTATCTCAAATAGACGGTGTACTTCTAATTGGAAAATGTAATATATAAACTCCTAGCCATTTAAATAGTTGCCTTTATAAAAATGAATAGGTTCTACAATTAAGGTTTAAAGAAACCCCCAATGAGAGTTTCTCCTCTTGAAACAAACCAGAGAGCCAGGCACCTCCCCCAGGGCAGAGCACAGACTTACATACAAGACCCAGAGCTGCCAGGCCGATGAGCAGCACCAAGCACAAGGTCAGTAGTGTCAAGGCCACCGGGCGCCAAACTGAAGATGGTGTCCCATTCTCTGCAGGGAACAAAGAGAAAGCAAGGGTGTTTTTATCCCTTCTTTAGGATCTAAGTCAGTCACCACCAACCATGGAGGGCAAGAGGATCTTCTGGGCAGGACAAATTTATGCAGAAGAAAGGCAGACAGGGCTAGAGAACTCAGCATCTGTCTTTAGAAATATGACCGCCAGGCCCAGTTGAGCCTCGATGAAGTTAGATTCCTTGCTCTGAGTCCTGCTGCCATTATCATGATATTTAAATGGTTGTTTCTTAAGAACCTTCTGCTGGTCAAAATTCTGACTAGGAGAGACAAGTGCCTGGTGGTGTACCCCATGTAGTAGCAGCAGGGAGGTAGACCCAGGAGATTGGGAGTTCAATATTATCTTCAGCTGCAAAGGGAATTAGAGAAGGAGAAGAAGGAAAAAAAAAAAAAAAGCCTGACACAGAGTCTGAGAATCCCAAACCTTACCAAGGAGCAACTTTTCTCATCATCAGGGAAAACATGAAATTAATTTGTTCTGAGTGTTGCCAGCTACACTCTTCCCCATGTCCCATTATATGTCCTCAAGAAAGCAAATGGCACGTCCATCTTCAGAAATGATTGTTTTACTGTTTCTCTTTGGGGTTTCTTTGGTGAAAGTCATTCTTTTGCAAGAATGTTGCTTACTCATTCACTTGACTTATATCTTCCCCAAACTAGCTTGCAAAGAATTATGATCATGAATTGCTCAAGGATGAATCAAAGGACTTCAGACTCAGCCCTAGTTGAATAATAAATGAAAGGAAAAGAAAAGGTAGGGCCCGCATCCTTCCCTTGACTCTGGCCCCATAGTTTTGACCTGTCATTGCATAGTATTCACTGTGTCACAAAGAGGCCCATCACCTGGTAAGTCATCTCTTTGGGTCATGACCACAGATATCTGACAGGGATAAACTCTTCTCCAGTGCAGATGGCATCTAGCATTGTGAATAAAATAAAATCAAGGTGGCATTTAACTCCCAAACTCAGGTCTGTGATCTATGAGCTCCATTTACTGAGGTTCTAAAACAGAAATAAACACAAGTTCATTTCCATCTAGACAGGTCCTCTGCCTAAGACATTCTAGGCACAGAGATGTGTGTTAGTCACTATTGCCAAAGTGATGTGGTGAAGACTGGAGTGTGGAGATGGAAATATGACATGACTTCTATCCTTCTGAACTTACAATCTAGTAAGAAAAATAAGTTACAATTCACAGAGCAGGCACACTGGAATATTGTTAAATGTGAATCTTGTTCTCTCTTAATAGCCATCTCCTTAATAAATCTCCCTCCCATACTGGTTTCCATGAACAAATATGAGTTACTTTCTCTTCTATTCCCTTCAAATAGTAGGTCTGGAAAGGAAGGGTTTTCTCATAACACTGTTTAAGAGTATTTCATGTGAACAGAAAGTTAAAGAACGAGGCCAGAAGCGAACAGCATAAGCCAAACATCCTCTCCAGATACCTAAGTATGTTTAAAGTTCAGTCTAGTCCAAGAAAATAAATCACATGAATTGTCTTTGCTGACAGGGGGACAAGTTGATATGGGGACACACCAACACTGTATTGTGGCTTTAAGTTTCTTACATTGTTATTATCATTAAATATATCATACACACTATTTCTTTTGTCTTTTTTTTTGAAATAGGGTCTCCTGTAGCCCCAGCTGGCCTGGAATTCACTATATAGACTAGACTGGGCTCAACTCACAGAGTTCCACCTGCCTCTGCCTCCAGAGTGCTGGGATTAAAGGCTGTGCTGCCACACCAGGCTCTTTGCCTTTTATCTGAGATACCTCTGCAGAAAATAGGCTCCTTCTTAGAAAAACAATTATGTTTTCAGTTACTGTATCAATTACCTTTTTGCATTATTGGGACTAAATGGTTGACAGAAACAAGTTAAAAGTAGAAGATTTATTTCTATAGAAACCTTACCCTAGAGAAAAACTGATTCTCTGTTTAGTCACAGTGTTTCTTGCTTTTGCATCTCTGTGAACGCAGGCCTGGAAGGTCAAGATCATTACCCTGAAAGCTGAGTTTCCATGGTGGAATGACAGTGAACTTGACTGTCTCATTTTTTCTTTGATGCTGTTTTTGCCTCTAGGTGTTTTTCTTCTAGCTGTTAACTCTAAGGTTTCTGATTTCTACCCTAAATGTTCCTAAGAACACTGAATCATCTCTCCAGGGACCACTCCCTATTTAAAAGGGATTTTTCACAAAATAAGCTCCCTGGGAGGTGCTTGATTTGGCTTGGCTTTCTTATCATTTTATTTTTGGAAGAGAGTCCCTCTACTGTCTCCTGAGGCGTGCTTAGAAAGAGGTGTGACCAGACCAAGGAATGATATAAACATCCCTATGAATAGTAAGCTATCTATAGAAGAAAACACCCTTTTCCTGTATCTCCTTACTATTGCCATGCTTTAAAAGCTTAAAGTGCCAAGGTCAAGTTCTGAACACAAATCCTTCTATAGATATATGAAACTTTGCAAATGAAGAGTATTGTCAGGACTGGAGAGATAGCTCAGTGGTTAAGAGCACTGGCTGCTCTTGCAGAGGACCAGGGTTTGATCCCCAGTAACCACATGGCAGCTAACAACCATCCATATCTTCAGTTCCAGGGGAATCTGATGCCCTCTTCTGACTTCCACAGGCATTACATAACATGGGTACACTTATGTATGTGCAGGCTATGCACTCATATATACAAAAAATGAAAATAATAAAATATCTTTTTAAAACTTTAAAAAAGTTAAGTACATCATGCTTTGTCAGTCATTTGCACATCAGAGGAAACTTCACTCCAAATCAAGAACCTACAGAAATTAATAGATATCGCTAAGTAGAAGTTATAATTATACTTCTGGGGTGTGAGGGGTCTTAAAAGCTGAAAAAGAAGCAGAGAATTTAAAAAATATTTTATTATTTTTATTGTATGTGTATCAGTATATTGCCTGCATGCAGTGCCTGTAGAGGTCAGAAGAGGGCACTGGATCTCCTGAAACTGGAGTTAGTACTGTCCGTTGTTGGCTGTCATACAGGTGCCAAAAACTGAACTCAGGCCCTCTGCAAGAATTTAACTGAAACATTTTTTGCAAAGTCACATTGGAAACTTGCAGTAGAGCTGGGCGGAGTTCATTATTTGTAATTAACCCTGAACTTTGCACACTCCCTAGGAAACAGGAATCCACAGAAATGTGTTAAAATGGTTAGTAACGTGCATGTTTCACAACATTGCACTCTTAACAATTGCCAGAGGCAGAGCATTGCTAGCCCATATTTGGCTTTTGGAACTATTTTCAAATGTAATTTTTTCAGCAACTTCTTTCTGTTTTCTCAGCTATTGTATACAACAATTTCTGTGTAGGAATCTGTGGAATTGAAGTTTCTTTTCTATGTTCATAAAAATGTGAACAGCAAAAAGGCAAGAACTAGCCTTTACAATTCCATTTCAAATATTTACTATTTTCATTTTCTCCATGTGTAAATGGGTGCCATCCTTCCTGTTTTTTGACAAGAATTTTCATCTAAGCATACATGAGCAATTTCAGAATACCAATGAATTTCTAATTGGGATGGGGAACGTTAGCTACCCTACCAAGAAACATGCACACACTGTTAATAATGGTCAGTGAGCTCTACCGCTTGTGCAGTTGTATTTCATTGGAAGCATCTCCAAATTATTCAAAAGTACAATGGCATGTAACCTCTATTAAGATAAAAAAATGGATTTCCCTAGGAGCCTCTTCCTTCATCTGCATCCAAGCTTTTATGACAGTCCCATTTGGAACTAAAGAGACTCCAGGGCTTCAGCGTTTGCAGCTTCCATTTCCACCTTATGAAATATCTATTATGATTATCATATTATGATTATCATAATAGTCCACTCTTCCACAAGAACTTTCTGAAACACAATCAAAATCATAGCCTGTTCTGCTGTATGGGAAAAAACGTTTACCCCAAACTATTTTTTTTTTTTTTTAGTACAATTTCTTCACAAGCTGTGCCAGGCCACTGGTGCTACTTTTCAACCTCTGCTCTTTTCCTAAATCCTCCACATCCATCTTCTCCTTTGAGGATTTCCCTCCTTCAACTGCATAATCCTTCTTGACAGCCCACATTCAGTTCTCTCCTGATTCCCCAAAGCATTTTACCCTAATCTAAATCCTAATCCAAAATTAGCATCTCTTTTCCCTCCAAATTCCTATCTGTGTCAACTTTCTTACATTGTCTCTAACCTCTGCACCTGGGTAGTTCTAGTCCTTTCTGTCTGTTATTACTGTCACATTGTCAACAGCATGGAAAAGCTACCCTAAGCTCCATCTTGTGCTTCTGGCAAACATGCCCTGAGCCTTGTAGACATGGAACACATGGTACTTTCTCTTGGGATGCACAAAACAAAGATAGCCAACAGCTCAATCAATCTTGTGCCCGTCTGCTTTCCAAAATATATTCAATACCACTAAATCACATTTTCTCATAATTGTTGATTCTGATTATTTCATAGCTTTAAATGCCTCAAAAACAGGAGCTCCCCAGAGCCTACCATAATGTTTAATATTTAGGGACTGTGTTGTAAAGACTTATAGAATCAAGGAGACATAACGTGCCAGCTCTGCAATGGGACATTTGTGCTGTACTTGAAGAACCGAAAGCAAAGAGCTAGAAAAGTACAGAATATTGGAGTAATATGAGTAGGGAAAGGCAGAACGTGAAGTAATTATCAGATAGTTTTTCAAATTATTGTTAGCTTAAGTGTTCATTCATCTTTCAATAGGAAAACATTTCATCTTCAGTGGAAATCTTGGCCCATCAGTTATTTCCTTCTCCTTCAGAGATCATGCTGTTCGTGGGAACTTTACAATCTACAACTAAATCAAGATCTCATACCTTAAAAACTAAATTTAAAAAGTCCTCACTCAAACCTCTGGCACCTCAGCAATAACATTCTATGTCTTCTTCAAACAGACAGAAAAAGACAAAATAGGAGAAAATCGTAAATAGTTTTACTCCATCAATGGCTCCTTTTCAGTACACTGCTATAAAAAAAAACCAATAATGTACTCATGTATGTATGTATGTATGTATGTATGTATGTATGTAACATACAGCCTAGAGAGCTGATTTATGTGCCAAATGTTCTTCAATGCAGTTCCACCCACTGGGTCTGCCAAGAATCCCATACCTGTAAGACACTGACTTTCCTCCTCCAAGGCGGTAAAAGTTCTTTAGGTTGGGTTAAGAGAGTACATTAAATTGGGCAGTTGGGGGTGTGGTGTGGCTAGAGAAGGGAATCTAAATACCATCAAACTATAGTGTATGAAAATCATAAAAAATCAATAAAAATTAAATAAAAAAAAAAACAATGGGACTGCAAAGATGGCTCAGCATTTAAGAGCACTAGCTATTCCTACAGAAGACCCAGGTTCAAATCCCAGCACCCACATGGAGGCTAACAACTATCCAGAACTCTAGTTCCAAGGGATCCAATGCCTTTTTCTGACTTTAGTGGGCATTACATGACATGGGTACATATACATGGGCAATACACTCATACACATAAAATAAACATTAAAATTAAATGAAAAACCAACAAACAATAAGACTCAATAATCTGACCAGGTACATGGTACACACCTGCAATCCTGGCACTTAGGAGGCTGAGACAGTAGGATTTCTGAGTTGGGGACCAGCCTCAGCTAGGTAGTAAATTCTAGCCTTATAAAAAGAAAAAAAAATCATAAGAACAGCAAATAATATACTATTTTCCTCCTTGTTGCTAAAGTAATAAACCGTGTTTAGTCTCTTTTTAACCTCTCTACAGCACTTGTTTTTAACAGTGCATTCATTTCTCTTTGCCAGTGACTCTCTTAATGTACTGAATTTACTGTCTCCTGACATCCCAGTTGCCTCTTCCCCCAGATTTCTACTTCTGCCCAGTCTGCTTCTCATTCCTAGTCACTCTCTTTGGATTCTCTTGTTCTTCCTGCCCCCCAGTTGCTGAGAGTCCTCACATTTTTTTCTTTGTAGTCTATTCTATTCTCTTGATTTTTTGTTTTACATCCTCTCCTTCAGAGACCTCACTCACTCCTGTAAATTTTAATTACTATTTATATTAATCACTTAAGCCCTTATTAGTTTATCATACCACTCATTGCCACATATAGATGTGGCCCAGGATTCTTACCCTGAACCCACCCACATCCTTCATATGTAAACATCTCTAAACTACTCTAGACACATCTCTCCTCCTGCCATCCCTTGGACTCATGCTGAATTCATCACCTCTTGGGTCCTTTCTGGTTTGAACACAGGTCATTACAGCACCATCAACATAATCTCACAGAATTTAGTCAGCTTTTGAGGGAAACCTCTCTCCTGTCTCTTCACAGGTAGCCAAAAGTAATTCTTGACAGTCTTTCTCTTCAACATCCCTCCTGTCTGATCCTCCTCCTTTACACTTTCTTAGTTCAAGATTCTTAGTCTGTACGTACCTGGACTAGTGAAAAAGTGGACATTAATTCATCCAGTTCCACAACTACTCCTGAAGAGCTTCTCCTTGGTCCTTCCTCAGGAGAGCCTAGACTTCTAAGAGCACATAAATTGTCTCTTTATTGGTTTCATTTTAACTGTGGGATAGAACTAAGTCACTTTGGAATAGCCTAGAAGACCCTCCTTAGCATACCTAACCTGGTCTTTAGTGAGCCCCCTCTCCAACTCTATCCCTCAACCATACTGACTGTATACAGTTCTCCAAAAACACAGTTACTTAAAAACTCCCTGGGTCTCCTCTCTTGTGTTTCTCCATATAGTGTCCCCAATTCTGAATATCCCCATCCCTGATACCATGTCATATGGAAACTCCCAAAATCAACTCAATGCAATGATCACTCTCTATTTATCTTTCTCAGTCTCCTGAAGCCCCCTGAATGCACATTTGCTCGAGTTTTCATTTTTCCAATGGCCAAGCATTTGTGCACACACTCCAGGAGAGCCTGCTGTCATACTTAAAGCTAAGCTGAAACTGGTCTTCGACCAACATCCCTCATCAACTGAGGTTATGTTGTATTTAACACTGTAAGACCAGTACCTTGTGTACTTGAGCTGAGTATGTGGGAAATAAGCATGTGGTTGTTTCTTTTATTTTTTGACTTTTGTTTTTTTTTAACTGGTATTTTTAACACAAGCATGATTATTACAGGAATAAAATAAAAATCTGTAAATATATGCGGTTTTTATTAGTTCTAAAGAAAAGATTTAAAAATTGCCCTTTATAATTTGGCCACAGTATTATGTTCAAGCTGAACCCTCTGCATTGCCAAAAATTTTTCCTGCTTTCTGGTATTATTTCTAACAACAAAAGTATATCAGATATGTTTTCTTAAGACAGCCTTTTTTTTAAATGGCATGTCTCTAAATATTTGCATTATTACAAGATAAAACCAAGATCATGCACATGTAGGCTAAGGGAACTGTTTCCAGATGCTTGCCTGGAATCCCTTCTTTGTAACCTCTGCTCCTACTGTTCCAATGTCCATTTCTTACAGAGGTTGCCAGATGTTGTTGGCGTGTTTTATCTTGCCCCACCTCTATCTCCACCCTCCAATCTCAGCAGAACCTATTTGTACACACTGTTCCCAAGTATGCAGATCAGTAGCCCTTCTACAGGCAAAGGTGGAAAATGAAACCACAGTCTTCAGAACCACAGCTCTGGGAATTGATTCTTCCAGCAATTTGCTGGAGGAAAGCATCTCAAACTCTATGACCCACATCCTGTGGCTATGGAACCTGTCATCCCTCCTGTGACCACTTAACTTCAAGTTGAGGAAGCTGGAAATCCCCAGTGTCCCTTAAACAGCTCTCTGGGTAGTTTAGTTAGAAAACAAGACATCGTATCAGTGGACCTCAGGTAGACAATTGTTCATAAACAGAAAGTGAATATAATGGCTTGGTGGAGGAAAAGAGGAAAAGCAAGACTCTAAAAGTTATTTACTGAAGAAAAACAAGAACAGTGCAAAAGTGTGTCCTGATTTACAGAGGTGCTGAAAAACCCCTGTCAGAGGGAAAGGACATGCACGATAAGACACAGCTCTGATGGAGACTGACAGGAAGTGTTAAACAGAACATGGTAGGAATTCACAAAGGATGGAATTTGGAAAGGAAGCTCACATTTCTGAAACGTCTGTGATATACTAAGTGCTCTATGGTGTCTGTCTTAATATTTTCAGCTGCCTTGTGAAGAGATTTTCTTCTGCTGTTCAGTGTTCACTTAAGTTGATATGAATAGATGTGCATCAAGTCATTCACGTAGAGCCAGGCAAAGTACCAATACCTGCCTTTCTGTAATTACCCAAAGCCACAGGATGCTTAAGGAACCCGGCTAAGATCACATAGTTGGCAAGTGGCCTACTTGGTATGAGAGCCTAAACATACTCCTATCTGTATAATGGAGGGAAGTCTTTGCTCTACAGTTAAGTCACATGTCTACTGTGAACTCAGACCAGAGAGGTAAGACATGAATTATGAAAATGAATGAAAATGGAAAAATATTACTACATCATAGGAAGAATGATGGTAAAGAAAAGATGGAAACTAAAGGTGCAACTAAATTAAATATGATTAAATTGGAGGCCTGGAGAGATGGCTCAGTGGTTAAGAACACTGACTCTTCTTGCAGAAGACCTGGGTTCAAATCCCAGCACCCACAGGCAGCTAACGACTGTCCATAACTTCAGTTCCAGGGGATCCGAGAGTCTCTTCCGTCCTCCACAGGCATTGCATGACACGGGTGCACTTACTTACATGCAGGCAGTACACGCATATACATAAAATAAAAATAACAAAAATAAAATAGAATTAAAAATATGATTAAATTGTTTCAATAATAGACTGAGAATTATTAGACCACAGAGAAATAGAGGCTAGACATAGTGACGAACTCTTCTAATCCAGCTACTTAGGCTGAGATAGGAAAATTGCAGCTTTGAGGCCAATCTGGACAAGTTGGCTAGCTACTGTTTCAAAATAAAATGAAGGCTGGGATAGCTCTGTGTTATACTGTCTGCCTAGCATCAGGGAGGCCCTGTGTTCAAACTTAGCACCAAAAATATAGTCGGGCGGGTAAGGAGGAATCAGACATTATTGAATCTGAGCTCATTCTGTAGATTATAAAACCACAGCTCATTTTATCTATCTATCTATCTATCTATCTATCTATCTATCTATCTATCTATCTATCTATTTCGGTCTTTTTTGAGACAGGATCTTCCTGATGCCCCAGCTGGCCTGGACATTCACTATGTAGACCAGCATGCCCCCATCTTACAGCTATCCCCCTGCCTCTGCCTCCTGAGTGCCCTGCATAAATCACAGAGCTTTAGGGCTAAAGGGACACATTAAGAACGAATTGCATCAATCATCCTTCATTTCACAGAGCCTAAAACCCAAAACCCCATGCTCCCATGATTCACCCGAGGTCTTACAGCTTCACGATGTCGAATATTCTAATAAGTAGTACCCTCGTTAGTCTACTTGGAAAGCTCTCTCTTAAAATCAAGAGTTCAAAACTAGCAAAAAGATCATTTTCATTGACCTAAATGTCCAAATCACACTCAAGGACAACAGCAAGCCTTCCTGATTTGATCTTCCTGAGCACCGGGAAGGGAAAGAGACACTAGCAACTTTAACATATATACAATTTCCTTCCACACTATACCTAGCCAGAAAATCCACAGACCCTCCCTGAACAGCGCTATGCTAACCGTACAAGTTCAGAAAAACAGACCTTTGTATATATACTACGTTTCGGTTTTCAGATGTTCACCTGTGTGTGGGGAAGTTGTGGAAAGGGCAGGTGCGCATCACTGCAATCCACAAAAGACCCCTTACCCCCACCCTCTGCTTGTATATGCCTAGGAGAGATGCCTCCTCTCACCATTCTATAGGGCTCTGGTCGGCTTGGGCTGTAAGAGACAGGAGTGACTGAGTACCTGAGTGTCTGGGCTCTGGCTGCCGGGAGGCTCGAGAATACAGGCTTATGGTGGTGTCGTCGTCATCCAACATGTCCCTTGTGCTGTTGTATTTGGCTAGCATCCCGATTCCTGCAGGGCTGTGGATAAGATGCGGTCAGATTGCTCCAGGCCGCCCGTCTACCGTCAGATAGCTCAGGAAACCAGCCACAGAAAGGCATTCCTAATGTTCCCTCACTGCAGGCAGCAGGAGAAGCCTCTGACTCCAGTTCCTGCCTGGAGAGGCCGGCCCCTCCCCTGTAAGCCTGTACTCTGAATGCCAAATTGGTCTGGCTGAGGGGAAATCTCTGGTATTTTTGCCTGGGCGGTCTCTGAACAGTTATTAAAAGGACTATGCTTTTCGGACATCTTGTGTATCTGTTTACACTCCTCTAAACTTGCAGGATGTCACTGATGAGCCTTCATATTAGCACTGTGGGTCCTTGGGCCCTAAAGAACAATCAGACCAATGACACAGCTTCTTACCCAGCATGCACCACAGGTTGATGACTCACCTGCACCTTTGTGGAAGGAGAGAAGCCCCTTCCTAACATCCTTCCCCCACCCCTTTCAGTCTCCAAGGGCAGAGGGAGCAGCATCATACATGGGGTTCAGCGCGGGAGGGTCCTTCTGAGAGCGTCTAATCGATTCTATTTTTTCATTTTACACAGAAGGAAATTGAAACCTATCTAGATGGAGTGATTTGTTCCAAGTCACCGAGCTGGCTAGGAGCAGAATTAGCTTCAAACGTTCTCTTCTGTGTCAACTTCACACCCTTTCTTTCTTACAGTTTCTGGGCTTGATTTAACATTTTATCACACACCTGATACACTGTGATTATGAGGAACTAGGTGTTTTATAAGGAGACTCAGCACTATTATTAACCACTGTGCAACCTTGGGAAGCCTATTAACAATTTGTGCCTAAGAACTTTATCTACCTATTATCTATCTCTATCTGTCATCTATCTATCATCTATCTAGCTAGCTAGCTATCATCTATCTGTTATCTACCCATTTATTATCTATCTACCTATCTAGCTATTATCTATCTATCTATCTATCTATCTATCTATCTACCTACCTACTTACCTATGGAGACAGGGTCTCCCTGTAGCCCCAGCAGGCCTGGAACTCACTATGTAGGCCAGGCTGGCTGCCATTGCACAGAGATCCCCTGCCTCTGCCTCCCAAGTGCTGGAACTGCACATGCCCAACTTGTACCTAAATTCTTAAACTGAGAAAGGAAATGAGAAAATAGCCTTAGGCCATGTCCAAAAATTCTTCCTGAATCAGTACAGTATAATTCAATTATTTGTTAAGTGCTTGTGTTTGTGTTGCAATAACAGAATACCTGAGACAGGATAATTTATAAAGCATAGAAAATATATTTCTCATAGCTCTAGAGTCAGGAGAGAGCAAGATCAAGATGCTGACAAGTTTAATGGTGTGAGAGGGATGCATTTTCTGAAAGGGAAGAATATTGTGTCATCACATGTGGGAAGGTGGACAGTCAGTCCAGCAAAACTTATATACAATGTATCTACAATAATAATTCATCACACAAATGAATTATTGCACTATATCATTGTACTAAGGCTTTTCTAGATGGTAGGTAATGACTGGACTGACTCAGGCATGTTAAATATAAAATACCATAGAGTCTGAGTGAGGGCACCCTGCATGAGACCCCAGAAATGATAATTTGCGAATTCATATGTGTTTCCAGCTGCATGCTGTTCATCCGATTATTATAATTTTTGAAATAATAATAAAGGAAGTTTTCTTTCTTTCTCTTTGTTTTGTTTTGAGACAGAGTCTCCTTGTAACTCCAGCTATTCTGGAAATCAAGATGTAGATCAGACTGACCTCAATCTCATGGAGAGCCAACTGCCTCCATCTATGCCCTGCAGAACGTTTTCTTAAATAATGTTGCTCATTTGTATTGGGTTGAATATTAGACTGTAGTGCAGGAGATATGGCAGTAAGCTGAAGGTCAAGGCATGTGAGCCACATAAGAGAATAAAATATTAGAAAAATAGAATATTAAAACTTATAAGGCAGGGGTGGTGATGCACACCTGTGATCCCAGTACTCAGGTGTGGTGATGCACACCTGTGATCCCAGTACTCAGGGGTGGTGATGCACATATGTGATCCCAGTACTCAGACATGGTGATGCACACTTGTGATCCCAGTACTCAGGGGTGGTGATGCACATATGTGATCCCAGTACTCAGGGGTGGTGATTCACACCTGTGAACCCAGTACTCAGGGGTGGTGATGCACACCTGTGATCCCAGTACTCAGGGGTGGTGATGCACACCTGTGATCCCAGTACTCAGGGGTGGTGATGCACACCTGTGATCCCAGTACTCAGGGGTGGTGATGCACACCTGTGATCCCAGTACTCAGGGGTGGTGATGCACACCTGTGATCCCAGTACTCAGGGGTGGTGATGCACACATGTGATCCCAGTACTCGGGCGTGGTGATGCACACCTGAGAACGCAGTACTCAGAAGGCTGAACAAGAGAATCACCAGTTCAAAAATCACCCTGGATCATATACGCAGACTCAAAAACACAGGTGAAAGGAACAAAGAGGGAAGGAAAAGAGAGGGGGAGGGAGTATGTGAGAGGAAGGGAGAGGAGGGGCAGTCTGTGATGGGGTGAGGGAAGGGGAGAGGAGGAGAGGAGAGTGTATGGGGGGAGGGGAGGAGAGAGGGGAAGAGAGGGGGATGGGGATGACTGTGTGAGGGGGAGTCTGTGAGTGTGCGAGGAGGGGAACAGTATGTGAGGGGGAGAGGAGAGGGGCGGGAGGAGAAGAATTACAACTAGAACAGGAAAAGTTAAGTGATGCCTACATCACCCACCAAGCACTTTACCCACTGAACTATCTCCCCAGCCTAAGATGTGAGTATCATAATTTTGGTTTGGGTTTGATCGATTCTTCCTGGGTCCGCAGGATGGCACAAAGGAGTTCAAGAAATCATCATAATCAAGGAAAATATTTCCAGATGCTGCAAATCAAGTTTTGCTTATCCAGAGCAAGCAGCTGGGAAATTTCCCAGTGTGCAGAGGGAAAGGACCGAGCATGGCCAGAGCAATGGTATGAAGGAGGTCTGCTCTGGTGTGAGAATTATGGTTCTCATGGGTGGTGGTTTAAACGAATGTCCCTATAGGTGCCAACACTTGAGTACTTTGTTCACAGTTGGAAGCACTGTTTGTGGATATTTAGGAGGTATGGCCTTGCTGGAAGAAGCACCTCACTGGGGGTGGGCTTTGAGAGTACAGAGCTTGTCCACTTCCAGTATTTCTGCTCACTGTGCCTGCTTGTGTGTGTATGAGATGTGAGTACCCAGATTTCTGCTCAGCTGCCTCCTGCTACCATGCCTTCCCCATGATGGACTCACAGCCTCTGGAACCATAAGCCAAATCAACTCTTTTAAAAAAAAAAAACCTCTTTATTATTATTATTAATTAAACTTTTCATTTATTTATTTTATGTGTATGAGTGTATTGCCTGCATGTATGTAAGTGCAACTGTGTCATGCAATGCCCATGGAGGACAGAAGAAAGCATCAAATTCCCTGGAACTAGAGTTACAGACAGTTGTTAGCTGCCATGTGGATGCTGGGATTTGAACCCCCAGTCTTCTTCAAGAACAGCCAGTGCTCTTAAGTGCTGAACCATCACTCCAGACCCCTTTTTAACTTTTCTAATCATTTATTTTTATTTTATATGTATGAGTGTATTGCCTGCATGTATGTAAGTGCCCCAGTGTTGTGCAGTGCCTGTGGAATACAGAAGATGGCATCAGATCCCCTGGAATTGGATTGTTAGCTGCCATGTATGTGTGCTTGGATTTGAACCCGGGTCTTCTGCAAGAGCAGCCAGTGCTTTTAACCAGTGAGCCATCTCTCTGACTCAAAACTTTTCCTTCTATAAGTTGCCTTGGTCATGGTGTTTTGTTATCACAGCAACAGAAAAGTAACCAATACACCATGAAACAGTAAAACAACAGCCAGAATTGTTTCTCAGCCTTCAATGAATTATTCAAGTAGATCCTTGACAATTTTTGACAATCAACATTGACATTTACATTATTTTCTTTCAATATTTACTTCAACAACCATGAATTTATTTTTTAGCATCTAATATATCATAGGTACAAAAGCTTTTGGAAACAAACACTTTTGGTTCTTTTAGAGCCTGTGTCCTATGGAGAAAAAAATAGATGATTATAAATCTTAGGGCAAATGTATAATGGACCCTAATGGGCATGGCTTCGGGACAGAGTAAACAGGGGAAGCCTATTCATTACTAAAGTGATGTTTGTGCAGACTTGGGAAATGTAACATAGCAGACTCTGCATCCATCTCAGTAAGGAAAGGTGAATCATAGAGATCTTGAGGTAGAAGCATGCCCCTGAGAAACTCCAGAAAAGTCAGCATCCTGAGTAGAATGGTAAAGTGGAGAGGTTAGAGATAACTCAAAGGACTGGAGGGTACTAGAGTACATGAGGTCTTAAAGACAATAATAAAGGGATTTTTGTTCTGTTTTGTTTTTATTCTGAACCATTTTAAAAGTTGATGAAAACTTTTAGTCGAGAATTGACATGATTGTATTTGAATTTACATACTTGTTCTGCCGAGTTTGAAATAGATTATAGAGGGACAAAGTTAAAAATTGGAGACTACTTCCAAAATTACCACAGTGAGCAAGGTGAGTGACTTTCGCAGTCCTTCAGCAGGGTTGCCTCAAGTTCAGCCAATCTTGAATCTATCCCTTAGACTTGAATTCTGCTAACAGTGGTTCCTTCTTTGCCTCTTGGACAAGTGTGTGTGTGTTTCCTGTTCAGACATGCATTTCCATGTAAACTGCCGTATAAAATCTGTGTCAGCATGTCAGGAATAGTAAACCTTGGACCACCTGGAGCAGTTCCCTTCATACCCTTGCTGAGGTCATGCTTGATCCTTTCCCTCTGCACAGTGGGGCGTTTCCCAGCTGCTTGCTCTGAGTAAGCAAAGCCTGATTTTCAGAACCCAGAAATAATTTCCTTGATTATAATGATTTCTTGGAGAATCAATCAAGCCCAAACCAAAACTGAAACATCCTCATCTTAGTCCGGGGAGATAGCTCGATGGATACAGTGCTTGCTGTGTAAGCATGAGGACCCATATTTAGATCCCTAGCACCCACGTAAAAGCCAGGCACACAAATATCTATTTTTTCTCTTAGACACTTCTTAAAATCTTTAAAAGCCCAAATATATGCTTCAATACAAACTATTTGTGACACATATGGCCTAGTATCAAATTCATCATCCTTTTTGAAGAGAAGGCAAATTGTATTAGTGGTGATTGTTACACACAGGCACATTATGAAGAGGCCAAAGGTTCATTAATAAGCAGTGTTTTATTGAGGTGAAAGTGACATAACATAACACTAATTATTTTCATATACAATTCAATGGACACACAATTAGCACAATTTCTGTTTACATATTAATCGAGATGCGAAAGCTATAATGATTCCCCAGTAATTTAGAAATCCCTACTGGAAATGTGAGGGGCATTAATGGGAAAGTTTAAATCATTATGTGAGGAAAGGTAGTCACAATCCAATTGTGCCGTCTTACAGTAATGGCAAAAGAATTGGTGACAACTGCAATATAATCTTCCATAAAAATAATGATGTGTTCTGTGCTCCAAAATACCAATGCAGACTGGTTGATTTTTTTATATTCATTTGTAGATTTGATTTACTTTTAAAATATTTTATTTATTCATTCTATTTTATGTGTATGAATGCATTGCCTGCGTGCATGTTAAGTGCACCCATGTTGTGCAATGCCCATGGAGGTCACAAGAGGGCATCAGATTCCCAGAACTGGATTTACAGAAGGTTGTTAGCTACCATGTGGCTGCTGGGAACCAAACCCAGGTCCTCTGCAAGAGCAACCAGTACTGTCAACTGCTGAGCCTTCTCTCCAGTCTCCTGATTTATTTTTGAATTATAACGTTTTAGAAGGAGGTACTTTCCTATAAGAGCTAGTCAGATGTGCTGGACATACTCTCTACTTGAGGACAAAGTTGGAGTCACCACTCTGGGGTGGTGACAATGATAATAATCATAACCCTGTGGATGAAAACAACAGCTCTGTTTCTAGTGATATTTTCTTCGTTTGCCTCTTCATTTTTCAAATTAGAAGCACATTTTTGCCTTCTACCTGCATCTGATATGTGACCATAGTTGAGGGACAAATGACATAAATATAATGTATACTCCAGCAGCAACTTTTAAGAATAAAAGAATAATTCTGGTGTAGCACAAAATTTACCTTTCCTGAAGCACCAAGGACTTGTAGTTTACCTTGAGTAAATACTGAGTCAATGAAAGAATCAATCTTAGCTGTCCTTAGTCTATGTCTAGGGCTCTCTTAACCAGAGATAACATTGGCTTTTTGAGGACGATGACAAGTACAGGAATCCTCTTCATCCAAGTTTTCACTTAAGATTAAAGTTTATCATGATCTCTTAACATTTTCAGTATTGACTTTGACCTTCAGTATCCCTCTTTTTTGTTGTGTGGGTTTTTTTGGGGGGGGTCTTTTTGAGACAGTGTCTCCCCGTAGCCCCAAGCTGGCCTCAGTCTCACAGAGATGCACCTGCCTCTGCCTCCTGTGTGCTGAGGCCAAAGGTGTG